GCCGTTTTGGTCTTCCTTCCTATGTTCTCTCAAAAGACTCACAAGACACTGCCTTCTTTTATGAGCTAAGTGCTCATTTACACGTAAATGAAGTGGACGACCGGTCTCGCCGATGAAGGTTTCATGGTAAAATGTGCATACTAGTCGACAAACTACTCCGCACTTGGAGCAGTCTCCCAATCTTCCGTTCGGACATTAGGCAATTCGCATGACGCAAGCTCTGTAAAGTAAAGTACCTTTCGGACCATCTGAAAATATTGCACTAAAGACAATCCTTTACAAAAGAACAACTCGTGCTTTACGAGTCCATACGGGTCCGCACTGATAGCATGTGTCAAGCAATTCAGAGAGCACTTGAGTTCGTTGCTGTACACATTTGTGAACAACGACGGCACAGCAATTGACTCCAAACCAACTTTTGTCAAAATTCGTATTACATAGTTCAAGGAACTTGAGCAGACGGGAAGGAACTTTATTCAGAAGCTGACTGACTAACTTATTCAGGAACCTAGATCCTATCGGTGGATCCACCAACACAGCTAATTATAGGTCCAAAGTTGCAAGATATTGCGGGCAACGTTCCCATGTCTGACATAGAGAGCTTGTGTCTTTTCACAGGCTAGAAAACAGGACAAAATGGATCATCGATTTTGAACTTAGCGCCGGATGGTCTAATCGCTTGCGTTGAGAAAGAGCAACTCTTTTTCCGTTGTTGGGCGATAAACTGTATCATTGGACGATTGATGTTCCGTTATAACGCGAATCATCATCTGCGGCATGACAACAAGCTCCACCTTTATCACTTACTGTAAGGCGAAGGATTCCTTTTGAAGATAAATCAAGCAGCTCTTGAAACCCTGCCTTTTTGCATAGGTCAAGTTAGACTGTATCATGTTCAGGCTTCGAAACATACAAAGTGCCTCCCTGTAGTATGCGGAACGTGACTCCGCTTCATGGCAAGATTTTGGTTCTCTTCAAAAGGACGATGGAAAATGAGTCAAAGGAAACGTTCCTTTACGAAAAACAAGAGTTTGTGTTTGACTATCATGCCTCTTAATGCGATGTTAATCTTTGAATCTTTAAATCTTTCTAAAGACTCCATAACTATGCGGCAATGGCGCGTTAATATCTTGCGAAGGAAGGTTCCAAACTCTAAAACTCTGTCGCAATGGCAGATCTGTGAGTACTAAATCTGCGACCCGAGCCGTTCTATCATTACTTGATTTTGAGAACTCACATTGACTAATTGTGTTTCACTGTTTTGTTTCGGTCAACTTTAGAACTCAGCTGACTCTCACCAAAGAGTACATGGAACTTTTTACTAAGTGCGAGCTTGGCATTGGATCGGATGGAGTCGTATATAGAACTGATGAGAGAAGTGTAAGCGTACGTAAGAACGTACCGCCACGCTACCGTACCGTATCGTTGTGGAGTCTTTATAAAAATTTAAAGATTAACTTCGCGTTAAGATAGCATGATAGTTAAAAACAAGCTCTTGTTTCTCTCAGTAAAGGAACGCTTCCTTTGACTCCTTTTCCATTATCCTTTTACAGAGAACCAGAACCTTGCCATAAAGAGAACGTCAAGTTTCGCATACTGTCGACAGGCATTTTGAATGTTTCAAATATACAAATAGCATACATACAAAGGCAGGGTTTCAATTGCTTGATTTGTCTTCAAGAGAAATCCTTCGCCTTACAGTAAGTGATAAAGGTGGCGAGTTTGTTGTCGTGCCGCGGTAATGGTTCGCGTTATAACGGAGCATCATTTGTCCGATGATACGGTTTATCGCCCAGCACTGGAAAAAGAGTTCCACTCTCTCAACGCAAGCGAGACACATCTGGCACTAAGTTCAAATTCGTTGATCTATTTTGTCCTGTTTTCTAACCTGTTGAAAACATACAAGCTCTCTCTTTCAGACATGGAAACGTATCCGCAACATCTTGCAAAATTCGACCGATAATCAGCTGTGTTGGTGGACGCACCTTTAGGATCTTGGTTCCCGAATAAGTTTATCAGTCTGCTTTTGAATGTTCCTTCCCATCTGCCCAACACTAATTTGGTTCTTTGAAATTAATGTAACACGAATTTTGACCAAAGTTATTTATGGGATGTGTCGTCATTGTTCACAAAGGTGTCCAACAACGAAGCTCTCGAAGCGCTTTCTGAGTTGCTTGACACACATGCTAGTAATGAGAACCTATATGGACGAGCTGTGTCTCTTGCCAAGAAATGGCTTGGGTGCAATATTTCCAAGTGGTCCGAAAGGTGCCTTACTCAATTAAGAGGACCGGCAATGGGGCAGAGACTAGCACCGGTATTTGCCGCCTGTTTTATGTTGAACAGTCGGTCTAAATCTATGCCCTTTAATGTACTACCGCTCCATCGATGATTGTAACTTGATAACATCCACTCATTTTGAAATGAATGAGTGTTTCAGAATACTTAATTATCTACCGCAATACATTAGTCTTACATGTAAAAGGCCCGCTACAGTTGATGTTAGTCAATGAAGCGGTACAAGGTGATATGAAAATCGTTAGAAGGCTCGGATACTGGCGCACATACCTAGAATGAATGGTAAATAAGCATCCATCCATCACAAACGATCTACAGACGTTTCTATCATTCTGCGATATTTGAGATTGCCTGCCACTATTTAAGCGCGTTTAAGTCATCTTGAACCACCTAGTACAGATATCATCATAAGCGGGCAGAAGTGAGAACTTAAATCTTGCTAAGCACGGTATACTTGGCGTGTTAATTTCGATTCTGGGTGAGAGCTTCGGTCAAAATGGATGTGAATGTTTGGGATGGAGGAGGTGTTTGGTGGGATGCAATAAAAGGTAATGAATCACTTCAGGCCTCTGAAAAAGGCGCTGTGCGGAAACGTTGGGCTTTGAAATAAATGTTTCACTAACAACCTGTAACAATTACAAAAGAACAAGTACAAATTTAAGTTGTTCAAAACGTAAATGGAGTTGAAAACTTATTGTGAATGGTACCCGAAAACCTAAAGTTTTAGGCAAGTATCCTCCCTTTGGTTTGAAGAACTCGAATCTCGACCCAACCCAAGAGGACTTCCTCTATCATTTTGGATTTGGGAATAAAGCTCTAGATGTGCAGAAAGTATTTGGAGATACTAAGGTGAGTTGCCAAAAGTGTAACAAAGACTCATAGCGGTGAAATTAATCTTGGGGATGATATCCGCGAGAAGCCTGCATTTTGACCACTTAACCTAGCACAAAAACAACGGCACAATGCCGGCCTTATTCCATTCCGCGGGTATGATCTTAGGAGATGAACTTCAAAAGTGATTTAATAAACTCCTTGCAGTTTGTCTGCACTGGCGGCTCACATACTAGGATGAAACAATATGCTGAAGAATTTGCAAAAGAATGCCATGTTACATGCACTGACAATATCTCGAAAAGCGATCGTTTTGTGCTTTACAAAAGTGGCAAAGTGGTGTGGGTAAATGTAAGTGCACGCAAGCATATTCTCCCATTGGGTTTAAAGCACAGCATTTACAGCATGGCATGGGAAATCCCTCACTAAGTATTATGCTTAATGAGATACTGAAACTAATGCACTACGCCAAAGCGGAGGATGTTAAGTATGTGGTCTTACGGTCGAAGCAGGAGGAAACGAATTCGTTTTAGATTTGTACGTTTGGGAACGTCGGGAGGTGTAGGAGTAGAACCAGGTACTGTTGTCATCACCAAAAATGCGATGAATGCTGAATTGAATGAAAAGTATGTGCAATGGATTGCAGGAGAAAAGGTAATTATGTTAAGGAAAGAAGAGTTTGGGTGGGATAAGCTATTGAACAAAAGGAGAGAAAAGTGTTTCTATCAAAATAAATTTTCTTTCAGGTAGAACGCGATACATACCTCGATGAAGGTTTTCGAGATGAACTTATTGCAATGGCTAAAGAAAAGAATATTCCTGCAGAAAGTGGATATACTATGTGTGCTGATGAATTCTATGAAGGTACAATGAAACAATCGTCTAAATCATTCTATAGCAGTCGACAAATGACTTAGGCCAGATGCGTCTTGATGGTTTTCTGTGTGAATACAAAGCCGATGATAAGTTCAAGTTTCTCAACAAATTGCATGAGAAGGGGGTGCGAAATATCGAAATGGAAAGCACATGCTTCTCGTCAATGACGTACCGTGCTGGATGTAAAGGTAACAAAAGAGGAATCTGTTCTTGATGGGTTACTGTATATAAGATTGACTCATTCAGCGGCGGTCGTCTGTGTCACATTGCTGAATCGTATGAAAGGCGATCAGATCAAGCTCAATGCTTCCCAACTCAAAGAATTCGAAGAACGCCCATTCCGTCTTCTCACTGCTTACATGAAGAAACAACTCGGCTATTGACTAACAGACTGAAAATACCACAAATAAACGTAGTAAAAGAGTCTTGAAGAAATTTGGTTGTTATTATGCTGTCAAGGCAGAAAATAGCCATCTAAGAGTAGAGCGACATCTAGAAGAACTAGTGACCGCCAGTAGTGACGTTAAATAACTTCTGATTGCAGCACAGCAGCCTACTGTACTCCTCGGTGGCAAAAGGAGCTGATTAGTGAAAGTTTACATGTCAATACCATAGAAATTATATTGAAAATAGGAAGTTGTAAGCGAAAAATTTTCTGGACAATTTGTCGTCTACTGCGATTTTGAGATGCAGCCAACTATGAATGTACACCACTGCGCCTAGATGTTGTTTTGCCAACTCTAACTTCTATAAGAAAAAAAGTAGGTGAAACTCCTAATAACCCGGAATAGGTAAGCTCGTCCTAGAAGTTTTGAGATATCCATATGAAGCATCTGTCATTCCTAAGGAAATCACTTAATTCGCGATACGCGCAAATGTGGTTTGACGTGTGCCTACGGCTAAGTTGTGTGGGATTCACGGCACGCGCGTATGACAATGTTTTGAAAATGAAACTTGAGCAAACTACAAACCAAAATTTCTTGTTTTCTGATTTCATGAGATGAGAAAACCAACTGAACTTTCCATTTATTTTTTATGTCAAGCATTGTCTATCGAGACGTTTTACAGCTGCTATGGTGCTCAATGTAGTATCTGTTATTTTATTTCTTACCTGAGTTGTTTTATTTAAAAACGGTCGCTGAATAGAATGACTGCAACAATTATTTTTAGGTTTTTCGATGAACAGTTTTTTCTCCTCTGGTGGAAGAGAGAAAAAGGCGGAACCCAAATCCCCTGTCGATGACCAGTCTCACATACCATGGGTGGAAAAATAGTGCGTAACAGCCTTACCTTTTTCTCAGTTGTTGCTACTAATGTCGTGAAATCAGCCGTCCAAAAAACGTGGATGACTTGGTCTATCAAAATGAGGTGGTTGCTGTTTTTAAGAAAGTATTGGGAGGATCCGACGTAAGTTCATCCAAATTTCTTTTTATTTTCTGTTTACCATAATTTTTCAGTTGCCAAATATGCTTTTGTATGGCCCACCAGGTACTGGAAAGACTTCGGCAGCCATTGCTTTCTGTCGACAGCTGTTTCCATCACAAGAACTCTTTCGCGATCGTGTTTTGGAGCTGAACGCTTCGGATGAGCGAGGCATTCAAGTAGTGCGAACTAGGGTCGGTTTGCTTTTCTTATTCATAAACTAATTCGAAAAGTAGTATCATCATTTGTTTTTCATTTCTAGATCAAAGATTTTGCTCATCGAGCTGTCTCCAAAGCCCGGTCGCCATTCAAGATTGTTATTCTTGATGAAGCAGATGCCATGACCAGTGCTGCGCAGGCAGCCATGCGTAGGATCATCGAAAAATATTCCAAAACCACAAGGTGACATAACAAACCTCTTTCCAAAGTTTTGTTTGAGTACTCTTGTTCGTTTAGGTTCTTTCTTATCTGCAATTATATTTCTCGTATTATTGACCCACTCACTTCACGATGTGCAAAATTCCGCTTCAAACCGCTTCCCACACAGTGTCAGCTTGAAAGGTTTGTTGTCCAACATAATTTAAATCCTTTGAAAGGCCATTGTTCTACTCTATATTTTAAATCTTTAGACTCCTACACATTTGCAAATGCGAGAATATGAACATCAGCGAAGATGCTTTGACAACTCTGATTGTGTTGTCCGAAGGAGATCTCCGTCGATCAGTTATGTATCTGCAAAGTCTTTCTTGCCGCGAGCATGTCACAAGTGACTTCATTTTCGCTATGACGGGACAAATCGATGAAAAAGTTGTGAGTTTTCGAGTAAAAGCGTCATTGTTAAATATTTTGGGGTGTTTTGGATTTGCTTGACCTCTTTTAGGTAAGAGAACTGATTCTTGCATGCCACTCCCCCAATACTGATCGTATTCTCGACTCTGTTGAATCAATATGTAGAGCAGGTTATGCTAGTCGTCCTCTGATTGATCTTTTATACGAACAGTTACTGGACGATGATACGCTAAAAGATATACAGAAGTGTGCTATTTTTGAGAAAATGGCAGTAAGTTTGACTATTTGATTACATGTTATGACACTAACACCTGTTGAAATTTATCCTGTTGTGGTTTCCGCGGCTATATTGTAGAATGAGTTGAAGTGCGCAGTACAGCCGCGGAGTTTCCACTTCTTATTGTCTCATTTGCAAGCTGAGGTTATAGAAAACCACCAACTAACTTTTGTTTAGCCAGCCTTCAAGCAGAATTTTGATATTCAGGTGATCGAGGCGCGCCTATTGGATGGAGCAGATGAGTACGTACAAATGATGGATCTACTGTTTTGCATTCAATCGCAGTTCTGCAATAAATGATCTTTTAACTCTTTTCGATTGTAATGCTGGCCACTCCACAATCTCTTTTCTTCTTCTATCTCCGATCTCTGCATTGCTTGTTTTTTTGTGTATCGTTTCGAAAAAATTCGGAACGTCTTATTCCATCTTCAAATCATTACAGAGCACATAAAAGCAATATACAACAATATTGATACAGAGATATATATGATATCTTTTGCTCAGTCAATTCTGTTCCACTCATTGCAGTGCTCATTTATATGTTTATGTTCACTTTTTTTCCGCAATTTTCTTCTTCGAAAAATTATTCAATCGGAAGGGCTAGTTTGCCGTGATATGCTAACTCAGAAATTAGAAACTCAGCTGCTTAAAGAAAGTGTAGCAAACTTGTGGTGTTCCATTTTCTTTTATTTTGCTACACATGTGTTGCTCAATGCTAGATTTTGTTTTTCTAATATTTTTCACACGTAGCGTAATCAGCAGGTGCTTCACTACTTCTTTACAGTTTTTTGGGAAGAACATTTTAACTGTAGCTTGTTGTCCTCACAAAACTTGTATCAGAGATTGCGTAGTCTGTCGTTATCAAATTTCTATACCGCTACCTCTCGTATCAGAATTCCTGTTTTAAATCTTAAATCTGTGCGTAAGGTGAAAATATGGGTAGTCTCGTTCGTCCAAAATTTAAGCGGTTTCTGAGTCTAGTTTAGAGAAATTTCCTTACCATCATGGGTGTTTCACAATCTCCAAGTCATCTCGCAAAAGGAATTTGGTGACCTTTCAACAACTTTATGACAATCCTATAAGATTTCACTCGCTTAGCTTTAAAAAATTAGAGAGGTCTATCCAAGCAAATCAGTTTACTAGTTCGCATAAACTTCAAAAAATTTTGGGGAGTTTGACTAAAAAGACTCAGAAATTGCTGAGAAATATAGGATTTCTGAATTGTGAGATGATAGGACTGTCGATGACAAATAATTTGCTCTTGTTTCGAGACATCTATGATATTCGAAAAGCAAGTGATTCTTGATCGCTAGCTTAACAAGTTAAAAATAATAGGCCACCATTGACTGAGGTGAAAGCTTCA